AGCTCTTCTTGGGGGTCAGCCCCGTCACGGGCTGGGACGCACCCTGCGGTAGCTTCCGTTCACACACCAAGCAGTGAACATGCTGAGCAGAGACATGACTGTTCTCGGGTTCTGCTGCCCGTGCTGGCCAGAGCAGCAACCCCTGACGCCCTTGGACGGGTCTCAGGGCACCAGGAGAGTGCGTGATGCCCGCTGTGTGAGGAGTGAGCACACGGGCCTGGGGCACAAGGGCTGTAGGGCCGTCTACGGTGATAGCCAGGCTGGACCCGCCCTGGGTCCCCAGCAGGCTCTGTGACACCAGCTACGTCTCATCACCTTTTTCCAAATCACTGCACCATTGCTTCTGCTAGTCTTACATCTGAAGAGTCAAACTGAAGCAAAATGCACTTTTCACTTCTAGGAATCTGGGTCCTGCCAAGCAGGATTAATAGACAAAAGGAAAAAAAAAAATCTCCCTTTAATGGTGGCCAGTTTCAGGACAAGTTCAGCTATTGGGGTCAACCAAGGCCTGTTCCCAGGTCTACCTTTGAAAACCCCAGAGGGTTCTTTGTTTTTGAGGTAGTTTTATTTCTGAATTTAAGACATTTTTTTAATTATAGAAAAAAAATGCAAAATTTTTAAAAAGATTTATTTTTATTAGAAAGGCAGATATACAGAGGAGGAGAGAGAGGAAGATCTCCCGTCTGATGGTTCACTCCCCAAGTGAGCACAAAGGCTAGAGCTGAGCCAATCTGAAGCCAGGAGCCAGGAGCTCTTCCGGGTCTCCCACACAAGTGCAGGGTCCCAAGACTTTGGGCCGTCCTACACTGCTTTCCCAGGCCACGAACAGGGAGCTGGATGGGAAGTGGAGCTGCTGGGATTAGAACCAGCGCCCACATGGAATTCCAGCGTGTGCAAGGTGAGGACTTTAACCACTATGCTATTGCACCGGGCCCAAAATAATGCAAATTCTATGTAATACATTTGGAAAAGAGAACATGGAAGAAAAGCCCTCAGTGTCTGTCCTCCATCAGGAGACGGCCACTGCTAACAGCAGCTCTGTGTCCCCCAGCGTACGTAACTTCCATGCTCTAACAGAGCTAGTGCCTTGCTGTGCGGATGGAGATGGAATGTGACAGTTTTCCATTAATGGTAACTGCATCCAGACTGCTTCCTAAGACCGCATTCCTCCCCATCAGCTTCCATGGTGCTGTGGTATTCTCTAGCCCTTGCTGTGCACATCTACATTGTTACCATATATCCTCACGACATTCATCTTAGCACTGTCTCACAATGTATCTGGAAGAGTTAGAGGGATCCAGAGAGAATTCCCATCTGTTGGTTTACTCCCCAAATGGACCCGGCCAGGCCAACACCAGGAGCCTCTTCTGGGTCTCCCACATGGATGTAGGGAACTAAGGACCTGGGCAAATGAGCAGGATCTGAGGTGGAGCAGCCAATACTGCGAAAGGCAGCTTAACCGAGTGTGCCACAGCATGGGCCCCGAGTGGCCAGACCCTTGGAAACATTAGTTCAGCCTGTGTATCTTCAAGGCTTCTGCCTTCGCCAGGATCCACCCCACAGCACAGATGACTTTGGTAACAAAGACTAAGGGTAGCTCAAAGTTTCATAGATTTTTTGCTCATTTTTGTCCCCTTCGGAGTTGGCAGGGGATTTCAGAACCAAGGGCTTCGGCTGCCTAGCGGTGTCTGAGACCTTGGTCTTCCCTGCTCTCTCCCGGGCAGAGTGGGACGCTGAAGACAGCCCTGCTGGACTACATCAAGCGCTGCCGTCCAGGGGACAGCGAGAAGCACAACATGATTGCCCTGTGCTTCAGCATGTGCCGGGAGATTGGCGAGAACCACGAGGCGGCTGCCTGCATCCAGCTCAAGTTGATTGAATCTCAGCCCTGGGGTGAGTAAGGTCACGGGCACACAGTGAGAGCCCATGGGGCCGTGAGCAGCAGAGGTGGCCCTGGTCACACTCAGCACTCTCGGATTCGGAGCCTAGCACGCAAGTGTCATCCGCGTCTTGGAAGCCTGCCTCGTTTCTGGAGAAATGAGATGGGGAGGGGCAGACCCTGAATCCTATGTCAGAATGAAGTTAGGGAAGGCTGTGGGGCCAGAGATGTGTCCATTCTAACGGGACGTTCCTGCCTTCCTGTTAACAAGCAGCTGCCAAGGTTCTACCAGAGGCCACGTTGGTGGCAGACTCCTCAGCCCGCCTCCTTTGCTTCCCTACAGAGGACAACCTCAAGAACACGCACCAGCTGAAGCAGCTGCTGCTGAAGGCCCTGACCCTGACTGTGGACGCAGCCGAGAGTTACGCCAAGGTAACTGTGAGTGTTCCAGCCTGGCACTGGGACTCGGTTTTTTCCCTCCTTTAATGGCTGCAGGTCCTTCTAAGTGCAGGGGTCGTGGGTCAACCGGGGCAGAAAGGGCAAGTACCGTTGTCCACATGGGAGACAGTAGCAACCCGGTTTTTCTCTCCCTCTGCCTCCCTGCATTGCTGTCCCCCAGGACTCGTGTGTGCGGCAGGCCCAGCACTGTCACCGGCTCACCAAGCTGATCACGCTCCAGATCCACTTCCTGAACACTGGCCAGAACACAATGCTCATCAATTTGAGTTGCCACAAACTAATGGACTGCATCATGGCCCTTCCTCGATTCTACCAGGTAAGTAAACAAACGCCATCTCCTCGTTGACTCATCCTGGGGCTTGCCCAAGGTGCCAGGGCTGGTGACAGAAGCAGAAGTCCAGTTCTCCTGACTTAGCTGTCAGAGTACTGTGAAGAGGCACTGTGGTGTCCCTACCAGTGTCCTGTCTGAGCAGCCATCTCTGCTGGCCCGACAGCCCTGGGAAGCCCTTGAGACACTTTAGGTTCAGAGTAAGATCCTGCGGGTCTGTTAGTTACTGCACTTACAGAATGGTGCCAGGCTGTGAGGATGGTTATTAGGGAATCTGCTTTTATTCCTTATAGCTGAATTACTGGGAATAATATTTTTTTCTCAAGTTTTATCAATGCATCATTAGGATGATTAAAAACACTGAAGGAAAGATCTTTGGGAGCTGATGGGAGTGAAACGAACAGCCAAGCCTCCCCAGCTCTGACGCACTGGGCCAGGGCTGGCAGTCACCCCGTCCCTGCAACACGGGCAGGCCTGTCCCCACCGCAAGCGCCTTCAGCTTTGCACCCACAGGCTCACATGGCGCCTTCCTCCCTTTCAGGCTTCCATCGTGGCTGAGGCCTACGACTTTGTTCCAGATTGGGCTGAAATTCTGTACCAGAAAGTGATTCTTAGAGGAGATTTTAATTACTTGGAAGAATTTAAGCAGCAAAGATTACTGAAATCCAATATATTTGAAGAGATTTCTAAAAAGTGAGTATTGAAAGTTGGCTGTAAATGTTTCTCAGTGTAGTCTCTTGCATTTAAGTGAGACAAGAATTTTATGGCTTTAATGGAACATGCTTTTCCATTCGTCTGCTTCAAATGGTAAAGGATGTCAAGAATCCCGAGGTTAGAGCTTGGCAAATGTGATTCGTTTGCCTAGGGAGCTCTGCACTAAAAATGAGAGGACAGCTACTTCTGTGTGAGGTGCTTTCTTGCACACTCAATTTTAACATTTATATCAAGTACCTCTGACGCTGGCATGAGATCACTTGCCAGACTCCAGCACCCTCTCCTCTGCAAGCAATGTCAGCGCTAACAGCCCTCACTCAGGACCCAATGTACTAAAACCTGCATGTTCTTGGTTCTTTGTTTAGATACAAACAACATCAACCTACTGATATGGTCACAGAAAACCTGAAGAAGTTACTCACCTACTGTGAAGATATCTACCTGTATTATAAGCTGGCATATGAACACAAATTTTATGACACTGTAAATGTACTTCTGAAGGACCCTCAGACAGGCTGCTGTCTAAAGGATATGCTAGCAGGCTAGATGATTTCATTGGTACCTGTTGTCTTAGACCGATGTGACGTCCTCACAGATGCCCATAATCAGGGTAGAATCATGGATGTGGGATCTGCTGGCCATGTCAGTCCTTCATGGGTAGGAAGGAATCAGACTTTCCACAAGGGTCTCCCTCCGTGAAAGTTATTCATCTGAAAAATTCCATATGGCTACTATCTCAAGCTTTTCCTTTTTTGGAAGCTTGCGCTTGAGGTTATACAGTAATGAGCAAAGAACACCTGTGCCTGCAGACTCCAGTTTCAAAGAAATTTAATATTATTTACAGAGTTAAGGAACAGGTGATACATTTTCGTTAGAAACTTTCTATAATAAAACATTTTAATTCAGTGTATGTCATTACTATTAAGGAAATCTCAGCCCTTGTCTGCCTTAAAACGGTATTTACTAACTCCTGTGTATAGTCACTTCTTTCTATAAAAATTCCTCAAATTATTTAGATAGTGATGTTTCCGACTTAAGTTCAAGGTCCCTATTTCTTATGTAAGATAAATTACATACAAACTTGTGGGGGTGGAGGGCACCCCCTAACCACAGATTAGCTTTAATCACTTTGGAGAAGCTTTAAGAAGTTGCTGAAAACTAGTTATTTTGGTGCAAAAAAATGAAATCCAGGCAATTTTTTTGTAATTTGCATTCTCCACAACCATCTTAAGACTTTCACATGTATTTCCTGCACCAAAGTCTTTTAATTCTATTTTTTATGAAAATAGTTTTCATAATAAAAGGCCCCCAATCTATGCTTACAAGTAACCTGAATTATATAGGCTTTATAACCCCAAATAAATAGTTTATCTAGGTACTTAATTAGGCCTTAGTAACTGTACAACAAAATAATTTCTCTAAATAAATAAGAGGAATGTAGCCCTCCACCTTTGCTAACTGACAATGAGGATTGGAAGGACAGGCAAACCATTCTTAGATTTAAAGCTGAAACTGCACCTACCACATTCTAAGCTTAAGTGAAGTACAGACAACAATCCCAAGAGCTGTTTTCTGTATTTTCCAAAAGTATCTCTTGGGAGGTAACACAAAATTTTTAAGTCCTCACAATAGTGATTTTATTAAATTAGTCGCTTTATAAAACATTGCAGATGTCATAATTGTTAACATAACAATTTACCAAACTGTAGTTAACTGGTGCAGTTTGCTGAGCATGTTTTATAAAGAAAAGGAAATGCCAAAACCCTGATAAAGTTGTTCCATCGCAGCCTAGAAGTTTCTCAGAGACCTTTGCATCAGACAGACAAGCAGCACTCCCTCCTCATCTGAAGCCCGCCAGCTGAGACAGTCTGATACCTGAACCAGGCAGTCTGTGCACTCCAGGGATCCCACAACTCGTAATGCAGAGGTTTACCTTCTTCAGCTTCAAAGTTGGAGGGTTTTGGTCATTTAAGGATCAAACAAGAGCCTTTTCAGCCGCAGTATCTTCACTCTGAGATAAGCAGTCGTCTTCACAATGTGTTTTTAATATTCTCACGCTCAATCTTAAGACAATGCAATTTTAATACTAGGTGCACACCATATGCCCTTGCTGCAAACTGCTTTTCTTGACAAGTTATGAAGTAGTTCCAGGAGGTATGGTTAAGGCTGTATTACTGAACGGTGCTGGTAAATACTACACAATTCTTTGTCATGTTGCAACCCTTGTTTCCAATTTAGTGACTGCTGCTATGGAATCGGACAGCAACAATGACAATCATTATTCTGGTTGTGGGTTTTTGTTTTTAAAACTATGATTTAGTAGCAACTCAGTTCCCAATTTTAACCCCTTGGCAACAAGATCCAAGTTCCCTCATTTGCACATTAGCACCTAAGTGTCAAGGGATTAAATAACCAGCACAAAAGATACTGTACTTCTGATTGTAGCATTTGGCAGAACTGAAAGGAAAGGAAGTTGTGCTACATGTAGAAGGGATTGTGGGCAACAGAAAGACAGCAGAAGAGGATAAAATGTCACATGAAGTCTTCATAGTCTTGTGCATACCCGCCGTCATAGCCACCATAATCTGCCAGATCGTCTTTCATGGTGGCCTTTAATCCCCCTCCAGGAACCACACCTTTCTTCTTCTTTTTGGCTTTGCTTTGCTAAGGATAAAACAGAGCAACTCATGAGATTTTATCTGCATTGGCCATCATGTCTGCTACAGCAAAACCAAAACCTCCACTCCCCCAAACACCTTCAGTCCTCTCGGGGAGAGCGCAGGCGTCACTCCCAGCAGGAATGGGGACTTTCGCAGCTAGGACTCTGAGCAGGATGGCAGTGGTGCCGCACTCCTCACCTGTCCCAAATGAAGGAGGGACCGATACACTGCTTCCGTTTTAAGTAGCTTACTGCATTTGGGAATATTCTGCCTACAACCCCACCCTATTTTATTAACTTTCCCTGAATAGTTTTCTCCTACCTTTTCTTGCTTTTGTTTTTCACTGCAAAGCACAGTCAATGAATTGGTAATCTTTTTCAAGTCATCGATCTCCACTAAAAAAAAATAATAAAACACCACTAATTTTTGAGCATTCTGAAACATAAACAAAGCATAAAAGCAAGATATGAATCCTTCCATAAAATATTCCATCATTAAATACCAGTAACTTTAAAATGATTGTGAACTTGTTTCAAAAACTGGTAGTAAAGAGACCTTTAGCCATGGTAAGGCTCTCATATCACAACTTAAAATATCCAAAGTAATTTAATGATAAGCTCAGCCAAAAAGGGGGGCTTTACAATGAGCACACCCTCAGTTACAGGGAACTACCACAGGTCAGCATGGTCTGCAGGGCTCTGGCCCATGCCCTGTGGTCCACCGTACCCCTCCCTTACACTCAGTGTGCAGCAGTTCAACAGGCAGTGACAGTTCCTAAGTCTGCAGATGGTAACCACCTACCTCATGAACAATGATTATCCTATTGTTACACCAGGAAATGTGCTTATGGAGGGGTCAACACAACATATCCTCCCATTGTGAGTCTAGAAATTTCAGTTTGGGGTAGAAAGTACCTCCAAAAACAGGAAAAATCATGCAGGGGGAAAAAAAAACCCACCTCAGGGACTATTACTGGTAAAATTTAGAACCCCCAGCTTAGTGATAATTTCTCAACCCACTTTAAAACTCAGTGTGTAAAAGGCAGGAATAGTTTGTGACATAGTGGGTAAAGCCACTTCCTGCAGTGCCAGCATCCCACAGGGACTGTGAATCCAAGCTGTTTCACTTCCCACTCAGCTCCCTGCCAATGTGCCTGGCAAAGCATCAGAAGATGGTCCAACTGCTTGAGCCATACACCCACATGGGAGACCTGAAAAGTTCCTGGATCCCGGCTTTGGTTTAGCCCAGTCCCAGCCATTTTGGCCACTTGGGAGAGACACTCTGTCTCCCTGTGTTTACGCCTTTCAAATCTTTAAATAAATCAAGTACTAGCAAAATCAGTCCCTTCTACATCAGTCATCACTTAGCTGCCCTGAAAAAGATGACTCCTCTCAGGGCTTAGCACCAAAGCCAGAACTCAGAATACATACCATCTCTCTTGCTTCTGGGTTTCTCATTTGTAAAATGAACAGTCACCAAATTCGCACTCAATTCAAGAATCCTGTAAGCCCAAACATCATTCCTACCCTCCCCTGCCAAAAATAATTCCTGGCACTTTTCAAGAACAATTAAAAGAATAAGCCCAGATGTGTCTGGAAAAGCACTGTGAAACAATGAAGGAGAAAGAACCCCTCCTAAGTCCACAAAGTAACTGCTAAGGAGGCAAGGCTTCCGTCTCCATTATCACCACAAAGCCCTTCCTGCTTCTCTTATGTCCTTGCTGACATCTGTCCACATGAGTTAGAGATAAAAATTACTTACATGATATACACAAATCTCGAACTAAGGCTTCCAAAAAACTGGCATAATATAGTGACTTTTCATATTGTGTAATTTTATCTTTTAGTAACTTTCCAAACTCTGTAAAATCATCTCTTGAAGATGGGTTCATAGCATCTATTCCATAAACTGTATTATTAACACCTGTAAAAGGAGAGAGAAGAAAAAAACCACACACACACTGAGTATACTGGCCTGCTTGGGCCAATTTAGGGAAAAGGCATAGGGGAGAAAAAGTAGATCAATGTCAAGGTTTGGTTTTAGATCTATCCTGAGGCTGACACTGTGGTGTGGTGATTTTGGAGTGAACCAGCAGATGGGAGGTCCTTCTGTCTCTCCCTTTCTCTAACTTCTCTTCAAAAAATTTTCAAAAACAAATTCTTTTAATGTCATTCTGAAAGCATTCAATAGATGACACCAATAAACTTGGTTCACATCTGGCTACCTTCTGTGCCATGAACTTTCCTGAAACACTCATGCGCCTTATCTGTAGGGGAGACCCATTCCCTGCATCTCATGCACTGTCCCCTGCTGCAGTCAGGATGCGCTAAATGCAGATCTGTAAAGACACCTGGCTTGGGGAGGGCCAAGAGGGGTCACACAAAGATGTCCTCCCAAGTACAAGGGGCACACCAAAGCTGAGTGCCGTCCCTGGACCTGCATCCTAGCCCATCTCCCCAGACCTAAGGCAACAAGGGAGCCCTACAGTCAGTTTAGTGTTCAAGTTCCAGGGCCACAGGCCTTACGTTTTATCCAAATCTCATTCAGCTGATAAATATATTCTATTAGGAAGTGTGCTTTGAATCCAGTGACCTCCTATTTTAAATAATCCTGCTTTGAAATTAAAAACAATTACAAAAAAACTGAACACGTAACTATCTTCTCAAATAACAAGATCTCAACATACACAAAAAGATAAAACTTGATTTCTAATATCTAAATTAGCCACTATAATGTTTCTTTTTTAAAAGGAGTTGTTCTCTGAATTTTTCTAACTGGTAAGAATTCTGGAATTTCCATTTAGAACAAAGAGTTCAATATTATACTGCATCTGCACCCTCATCTCACCAAAAGTTTCTTTTGCTAATTCAAGGTCTGACTCTTCCTGTAATTTCTTTAGCCGCAATTTATCTGCTAGTTGTTCTTCTGGCGTTAGCACTTTGGGTTCTTCAGGTTCTTCTAACTAAAAGGAGACAGAAAAGAAGTTTTAAAAGAGATGAACAGTAATAGACCCAGTACATTGCTGCAGGGTATAAATATTTTACTAGGCATACTAAGTATCAGATGGTTATTGTATTTAAGGCATTCTTCTAAACACTTTATTTTCATCCTAGCTTTATAGATTGAAAAATAGGCAGAGAGACTCACCAACCAGCCCATAGCATTGGCACTCTCACTGGCATTACTAAGACTGTATCAGCTCTGCCTTTCTGGTAGATGTTATCAGATCTCTGCTAACCGACCTGGGAAGACAGCTTAAAGTGTTGAGGGGCCTGCATCCACAGAGGAGACCTCGGATGAAGCTCCTGGCTTTGGGCTGGCTAGCCTGGTTTAGTCCTGGCCATTGGCAGACATCTGGAGAGTGAGACAAGAAAAATGGCATCTTTCTGCCTCTTCCTCTCTCTTTCAAATAAATGAATCTTTTACAAAAAATCCACTGGAGTATTCTTTATAATTCCAAATAAACAGAAGTAAAGTGTCCAACACAATGGTTTACTCTATGTATATTTTAAATGTTCCTCTTTTTATTGCAGAATTATAAAAGTATTTATCATTGTAATATAACATGCATAGAAGCTGCTCACTTATTTCACAATTTCATTCCTCTGAGATGACAAAGCTGAATGTATAACATTTCTATATACTATGATGTAAACTCTATGACAAATATGTATTACATTTTCTAGGAGTGAAAAATCCTGGGGGGAAAGTAAAGGGAGTTATGCTCTTCCCGTCTATGTAGTGTGACAATTTTGATTAATTAATAACACATGTTATTTCTCATGAAGAAGATAAAATGGCAAAGGTAATTATGACAAGTTAGGACATCTCAATATTTTTCAATTAAATTTTTTTGGCTTAACTACCTGAGCAAATTTGGACACCATTATATACTTCCCTCATCAAAACTGAACACATCTTAATTCAATGCTTGGCCCAGTATAAACTGAGAACACTCTCAAAAGTTTTTTCATTTTGAAGTTTCTTCATGTTGGAGATTAAATGAAGATGTAACAAAATAATAAGTACAATTATAACTGCAATGACCAAGAAAATCCAATCAGTACAACTTCTCACACTGAGCTGTAAGACTATTATTTGTTCTGGTCATAGAAACAAGGGTTCTTTCAGATATATAGATACACAAGTTAGCAAGAGGTATATACAATGTTTCTGCCTTCCCAGAAATCCAGGCACTACCTCGCTTCACTAGCAAACGCAAACCAGTGTGACCCAACTTAAAGGCCACTTTATCAGAAACATCAAGCCTATAAATGTGATGTGCCCTTTACTTAGCAATCCATGTTTGTGAATTTACATACAAATCTTGAATATACCCATTAGAAAAATATGTGTACATATATATACATATTCACTAAAGCACTATAAAGAAAAGGACTGACAAAAAAAAGACTGAACTTTTCACCTACAGGAATCCATTAGAATAGATTATGGTAAATCTAGGCAATGTATAATATAGCTACCAAAAAACTGGGAAAGAATAAACCAACACTAACAAAAATTAAAAATGGCTTCTTACATGACATGCTAGGGAACATGGTGGAGGATAGGAAGAGATGCTTGAGACTTCTCTCCTGCCCCTGATTTTATGAAGGTTTAACTGACCAGCACAAACTGTAAATTTATGGGGTGCCTTGTTTTGTTTAATACTTACATACATTGTGAAATGATCAAAATATATGCATCACCTCACCTATCGGTGTGGTAAGAACATCTACCCTCTCTCCCTTGGCATTTGAGATGTTTCTGAATATACCATTTTTCCAGTTCCAATTTCTGAATATATTTCATGTTAAAAATTTAAAGCTAAATACTGAAAAGACAGGTCTAAGCCAGTAAAGCCATCGACTAGGACACTTTCATCATTTCTCAGATTCCTGGGTTCAAGTGCTGACTCCATCCCCAGTTTCAGCTTCCTTGGAATGTGCCCTTGAAGGCAGCAGGTGATGGATCGCGCAAACCCTCGGTTCCCTGCTACGTGGGGGACTTGGCCTGAGCTCCTGCAGCCCAGTTCGGCCTAACCCTGCCTCAGGCTACTGTGGGCATCTCCAGAGTGACCCAGCAAATGGGAGATCTCCTACCTTTCGACCTCTCACACAAATGTTTATCAAACTAGAAAAAACAGTCAAACCATTTCGCAAATGAGGCCTATGGACTATACATCCTAGTTAGGATATATTCCAAGTCCACAGAAAGAATTATGAGGAATTCCTAAATTTCACTCAGTAGCTTTGTATTACTGTTAGCAGCAATTATTCCTATAGTAGATAAAAAGTTATGTTTTCATTAGAAATTGGGATTTTCAGTACTGAAAAATACTGATGAGAACTAGTGATTTAACAGACACTCTTATTCCTAGTTTTGTGTTGAAAAGGGCCTGGAAAGCAAGGCTACCAACAATACTTAGTGCTCCCAGCACTCAGACTCGAGCTCTAAATATTCATCTCCTACTAAAAAGAACTTCAGAAAGCTGATTCTACACCTGAGGAAGAAGTTTACCAGCTGGACCTGACACTTATAATTGTAGTTTTCCAAGATGAATGGTTTTGTTTAAAAACAGGAAACAACTTTAAAGGAACCCCTACTGGGCATTTGCACATCATCAACAACAACAACAACAAAAACCAATCACTACATCTGATTAAAATAATGACTTTATAAAAAGGATTAAGCTTCTACTCTGCCTTTTCAGTACAAACTATAGTAAGTAACCAAACAGCAGAAATAAAAATCAAACAGGGTCAGCCAAATAAATGGAAGTCACAATGAGAAGTATCATCATTTTGGAATCCCTAATAAAATAGGTAATGATCAGCAACATTAAAAATATTTGAGGAAAAACTGATGTGAAACTGGACTGCTTGCAAGAACTTTAAAAATTGTAATTGCTTACTTAACCCAGTGATCAATTTTAGCAGCACCACCACCAACAGGACACACATTACATGACTCCTGACATGATGTGACACAGTATTAAATATTAAAAGCATTACTTGTAAGTATTCCAGCCAATAATGTTTCACCTGAATCTATCCAAACTTTAAGAGGGTAACTGCCACATTATGGGAAACCGCAAGTGTGACCTTGTGACGGTGGGATGCTCTACATAACAACCATGCAGACACTGACTGACTCCCGCAGACCTGGGACACCTGAACAGCAAATGTAAGGTCCTTGCTTCAAGAAATCACAGCCAGAAAAAGGCATATAAACAATCTGAGATCACATCAAAAGTTAGTGTTCATTTCCTAAGTGTGATAATACTATCATAGTCATGTAAGAAACATCTTTTCAGATATGTACACTAAAGTACATTATGCTATGGTTCTCTATTTCTGTCTGTGAATTTAAAACTGAAGATAATAAGAATGCTTTCCATGAACTGATATGAAAAGATCTATAACATATTAATAAAAAGCAGTGGGGTACCCTGAGTGAAGCTGTCGCCTGTAATGCCTGCATCCCATTAGAGTGCTGTTTCGGGTCCTAGCTGCTTCTCTTCCAATCAGCTTCCTGCTCTCGTGCCTGGGAAAGCAGCAGCAAAGGACCCAAATACTTGGTCCCATACCACCCATGGCAGAGACCAAGACAGAGTTTCTTGCTTCAGCCTGGCTACTGTGGGCCAAGTGAGGAGTGAATCAGTGGGTGAAAGATTCTCTCACTCTGCCTTTCAAATCCTTTTTTTTTTTTTAAGATTTATTTTTATGGGAAAGATTTACAGAGAGGAGATAGAGAAAGATCTTCCATCTGTTGATTTATTCCCCAATTTTCCTCAACGGCTGGAGGTGAGCCAATCCGAAGTCAGGAGCCAGGAGCTTCTTCTAGGTCTCCCACACAGATGCAGGGTCCCAAGGCTTTGAGCTGTCCTCTACTGTTTTCCCACAAGCAGGGAGCTAGATGGGAAGTGGAGCAGCTAGGATATGAACAGGCACCCACATGGGCCCAGTGCACGCAAGGTGAGGACTTTATTAGGCTATTTTTAAAAAAGAATCTTTTTAAAAAGAAAAGGGGACAAGCATTATGGCACAGCAAATTAAGTTGCTGTCTGGGTTTCCTACATCCCATATGAAGTGCTGGCTCAAGTTCCAACTGCTCTACTTCCAATGCAGTTTCCTGTTAATACATCTGGGAAGGCAATTCTGTGTGAGAAAGGGAAGTGGGGGAATAAAAATACATAGTAATGGTCAGGTTTCTAGCACAGCGGCGTAATATGACTTTGGTTGCCCTCATGTTATATTGAAGTGCCTGGCTGTGAATCACCTCCCCTTTTGACTCCAGCTTCCTGTGAATACCCACTCTAGAAGCAGCAGATGATGGAGACCTATCTGAGTTCCCAGCTCCTGATACCAGCCTGGACCAACCCCAGCTATGGGCAGCATCTGGGTAGTGAACCAGCAGATTAGAGATTATCTATCTTTCTGTTTCCCTCTCCCTTCTAAATAAATAAAAGATACCTTAGGGTTATAAGAAACCATTACTAAGGGCTGGTGGATTAAGCTACTGCCTGCAATGCCAGTATTCCATGAATGCTGGTTGCAGTCCTGGCTGCTCCACCTCTAGTCCAGCTCCTTGATAATGCACCTTGGAAACCAGGAGCCCTGTAGAAGGCCCAGCTGGTGACTTAGGCTCCTGACTTCAGTCTGAGCCCGTAATCGTCACGGCCTTGGGGAGCGAACCAGCTGATGAAACATCTTCTTTCTGCCTCTCCCTCCTTAACGGCTCTACAAATATATAAATCTTAAAAAACAAACAAAAGAAAACAAAACGACTGGGCCTGGCATGATAACCTAGTGGCGAAATCTTCGTCTTGTACCTGCCGGGATCCCATGTGGCACCAGTTCATGTCCTGGCTGCTCCACTTAACATTCAGTTCCCTGCTGAAAGCCTAGGAAAGCAGTGGAGGACGGCCCAAGGCCTTGGGACTCTGCACGTGCCTGGGAGACCCAGAGGAAGCTCCTGGTTCCTGGATTCTGATCAGCTCAGCTCCGGCCACTGCAGCCAATTAGGAAGTGACCCAATGGATGGAGGATCAGTCTCTCTGTATCTCCTTCTCTCTGTAAATTTGCCTTTTCAACAATAAATAAATAAACAAAGTGAATCCTAAAAAAACACACAAAAAAAGACTAATTTTAGGATAGACAGAGATACAGGTTATATGGATAAAACGTGTTTTAAATAGTTTTTTGAGCCAAGTAAATATTCCTATTTTTACCCCAAATAATCAAGAACAATAACATTTATACAGCACATGGAGCAGAAATGGATACTTCTTGCATCTTGCTCAGTCTGCACACTGCAGACGCCGGCCCAAATCACTGAACGTGGTCACTGTGCAGTACTGACCGTTCCTGAATGTCCAGCAACCGACGATGTGTTCTACTGCATGACCCTTCTGTGTTCTTGCAGTAGCCATGCATCAGTTTGTTCTAGGATTCACCAATCTTATGATATTCACTTACAGTTGTTACAGAGTCTCTCAACTTGAAAGCTAATATTTACAGGCTGTTACGATACTACAATTACTGAGAATTCTGTACTTCAAAAAATGAACAGTATTTACCCTTTTCTTAATTTCTTCTTGCCTTTTCTTCTGTTGCCGTTCTTTTTCTTTTATCTTTTCTGCTATTTTTTTCTTCTCTGAAATTTTTACTTCTGAAAGATATAGTTTATTCACAATTACTTTGCATATTTAGCAGTTTATGGATGAGACAGACATTATACTGTGTACTGTAAGAGACCAAACCTTTCCCTGGCAGTCGAGAATGGAAAGGTCCTGCAGTTTCTCTTCCTCCTCAATGTGAGCTCTAAAATCCAAACTTCTCTCCTCTTACTTCCCTGTCACCCGCTAGGCAGGACTTCCATCATTTCACTGCTATGCCAGACCCTCCCTCTCCCAACTACACAGTCATTCATAATTTGAGGGGATAAAGAAGAGCTGCAGAAGAGAGTAAAGCGAGGCTGGAAGAACATTTGTTTTCTAAATGCCAACATTTTCAATAGTGTCATCTAACTTAAAGCACCAAATGCCAACCAAGACAAAATAAAAATGGAGGTGCCCAGTGCTCACCTGGTTTTACTTCTGTTTCCTCTTTCTTTTCGTCTTCATCGTCATCCCAATTATCCTAGAGAAAAGCACCTCCGTTAATAAATCTTGCATGTTTGTGTTTCCAAGTCAACTTTACTGTCAACTTGTCTAACTCCATAAAATAAGGTTATTGCCATTTTTCTGTGTAATACATCACATCTGTAATTAACATAGGGAGAAATGACATAATATTAAGCCGCCAAGTCTGGCTTTCTGTCCTCCAGCAGGAGTGTTTCAAAGTTTCCCTCTGAGGTTTTGAATAACTTTTTTTAGGTTGATACCTAAGTATTTCAACTTTTATTCTGCTGCTGTGTTTCTGATTGGTAGTTACTCATGGATAGGAAAGCTATTGATTTTTCTGTGAATTTTTATCCCCCGATTCACTACTGAAGTCACTGATCACTTAAGTTAAATTTATCATAGACTTTTCTAGGTATAAAGGTTAAGCACTCCTAATCCAAAATGATTAAAATCTGAAGTTTTTGAATGTGTATATGGTGTTCTTAGTGAAAAATCCCACACTTGACCTCATGTGACAAATCAAAATGAAGGTACACTAAGAACACTATGTAAATTACCTTCAAGATTACACACACACACACACAAAGTGTGTATAAAACATAATCATTTTTATACCTGGGAACTTCCCCCAAAATCTCATATTATATATGCAAATTGGAAATGCTTCAGGTCCCAGACACTGAACCTATAATACCATGTCATCTGTAATCAAAAGACAAGTGTGTTTGTTCTTCACCAATCCTTTTGCCTCACAATTTACTTCCCTCACCTCACTGCACTGGCTCCGGTTCCAGAACAAGGCTGGACAGTAGCAGAGATAATGGGTATCTTTACTTTGTTTCTGTCCTAATGGAAGTATTTTGTGTTTCTCAAATGGCACTCCACCAAATTTAAGCAGTAGAATTTAGCATTTTTGGATTACTTCTGCAATGGGCCAGAAAGTCTTTTTTTTTTTTTAATTGTTTTTATTTGAAAAGCAGAGTTATAACAAAGAGAGAAGGGCCCATCACGACAGTATTGTGGTTAAAGTCCTCGCCTTGAATGCCCCGGGATCCCATATGGGCACTGGTTCTAATCCCAGCAGCCCCACTTCCCATCCAGCTCCCTGCCTGTGGCCTGGGAAAGCAGTCGAGGACGGCCCAGAGCCTTGGGACCCTGCACCTATGTGGGAGACCCGGAAGAGCTCCTGGCTCCTGGCTTCAGACTGGCTCAGCTCCAGCCGTTGCAGTTACTTGGGGAGTGACCATCAGGAGGAAGATTTTCTTCTTTGTCTCTCCTACTCTCTGCACATCTGCCTTTCCAATAAAAATAAATAAATCTTAAAAAAAAAAAGAGAGAGAGAAGAGATAATGGCCTTAGGTAGGCTGGTCCAAAGCCAAGAGCCAAGAACTTCTTTTAGGCCCCCACATGGCTGCAGGAGCCCGAGCACTTGAAGCTGCTCTCCTATGCGTTCTCAGGCATGTTATAAAGGAGCTGGACCAGAAGCGAAAAGGCAGGACTTGAACTGTCACCACAGAGGCTTAACTTCATATGCCACAGTGCCAGCTCCCGAAAATCTTTTCTTACAACCAAGAACTCATTTACCTTTTCTTCCAGAATGTATTGGGTTTCACTATTTTTTCATTTAGATCCCTGACCATTTGCAGTGCTTTTTTTTTTTTTTTTTGGTATGGTAGTTATTACAGCATCATTTATTAAAAACTTATCACTGGGGTCAGTATGGTGGCTCAGCTGGTTAATCCTCTACCTTGTGGTGCCAGCATCCCATATGAGTGGCTGGTTCTGGTCCAGGTTGCTCCTCTTCCTTTCCAGCTCTCTACTTGTGAACTGGGAAAGCAGTGGAGGATGGCCCAAAGTCCTAAGACCCTGCACCTCTGTTGGAGACACAGATAAGTTCCTGGCTCCTGGCTTTGGATCGGCTCAGCTCTGGCCACTGCAGCCAGAGAACTAGAGAATGGAGAATCTCTGTTTCTCCCTTCTGTGTAATTCTGACTTTCAAATAAGTTGAAATAAAATACAGCAAATAAATAAACAAAATCTCCCATACTCCAGTTTACTTTCTAAATATATGCAACGACTGGGACCATTCTCACATATCTGTTTTTCCATTTGAGGCTTTGCACCAACTTAACCTAATGTTACCAAAAAAACTTCCCCATCAGCAGTTAAAATACAAGCCAAAATCACTGATGATTCACAGTGTTTATAATTTTAAAAACTGAGATAACTTTATACTTCTTATTTTCCCACCCCATGCTCTAGCCAGTGGCACACTTACTTGAAGACATATTCCACACAATGCAATCCTATCTAAAGATTCAAATCTATACTTGTATAATACTTAAGTCAGTATTAAAGGAGTCAGGACCTAACCAACAGCTTCATGGATTCCCAACTCCTGACCTGTGCAGGCTACTGTCTTTCCTTTGTCTATCTCTGTCACTAAATATAAACCAATTATCCAATACAATTTGCTACAAGCTCCACAGACTTCAGAAGGTGCATGCTTGGTAAGGAAACGCACAGTTCTGCATTTCAGCAGGGCTTTATAGCTGGCTGCCATCATCTATGCAACCAGCATGCACACTGTGACATGGCACTGGAAGCGAAGCCACAGGATGACAGATGAAAAACAGGAGGCCCTGATGCTACTGGAAGAGGCAAAGGCTGACTAAGGTGCCACAACTATGACATCACACTTGTGGTTTTTTTGAACAAGATTAATCATATATCTAATCAATCTAAGTATATAATAACCAAGGCTTGATACTCAAAGTCTGCAAGCCCCCCAAAGAAACGAAATATTCAACATCTGGACTAAGACTCTCATAAGCTCTGCAAGCAGAATGGGAGGAACTGTATGTAAAAGTCTTCTTATAATCACCTCACTTTAACAATTTAACCCAGTCAACAAACTGGAAGCACACCACTTAGTCATTACCTGGGTAATTAACTCACTAGAGTTAGAAATTAGAGTTCAAATGTTTGTATTACGCTGCTGGTTTATGTTCTTACATCAATACATCACAGTACAAAAGGCACCAGAAAGCTAAAAATAAAAGTTAACTAGCAGGTATTTCAGCTGTTGCTTTAATCTTCACAGAACACGTTAAGCGTAGGTCTGTAAGTGATAAGCTGCTGTTCAGGCACTTCTTCAGATAGAAGACCACGTGCTCACTTCTAATGTACGCACATTCACAGCCCCAACAATGCTGATACTTCCTCATCAAAATCCATAGAGTGAGAGTGGAGAGAGAGAGAGAGAGAGAGAGAGAGAGAATGTTCATTCCTTTCAATCAGCTCTGGAATGAGCCTCCTGGAATCACAGGGACTGTCATTAACGAGAAGAGTCACAGCACATGCTAACAAGATGAACAGCTGGGCACAGTGGTTATCTACCTTTCAACCTCAAATTACCTCTGGTGGTTTCTGACTAATTTTAAGAAACTGGTCAGGATATCCTTTGGTGCTACAAGGCCAAGAGGGAAGAAGCATTACTGAAAGCTAACAGCTCCATCTCAATAACTTGTACACAGAGTGCAACAGAGGAGCATTTTTGGGGTTCATTGCCGCTCCACCCCAGTCCCTCCTCCCAGCAAAACACTTCCCACACCCACCCATGTCAATGCTCTCTCAGTGCCCCCCTTGCACTAACTCTGTCCCCCACAAAGCATAAGCCTCATCCCAAACACTTACAATGAAGCTACCTAGAAATGCTCCATTCCATCTCAGAATGAGGGCTAACAGCAAATGGAATGGTTCCTGCCAACAAATCCTAGGAAATTATGACATACACTCCTCAGTTAATAGAAAGACTTGAAAGGCAAGTTCTTGCCTGTCACCCTCACCTCAAAGCGTTTGTAACATGCCTGCCTGAGTGGCTAGAGTAACACCAGGTCCCTAAAAGGACAGCACAGTAATCTCGTCATCTCCAAACACGCATAACCACAGAGGGAGGCCAAGAAAGCTTCCTCCAGCAAGTTACAAAAGCAGGAGTCCAAAAAGGAAATATAAGGTAAAATGTCTACCTCACTCCTTCAGAAAAATCCACCTAGTTTTCTATAAGCACTACAACTTTGTAAATGCAAGCAACAAATTCAGACAAAAATACCTAAAACTAATATAACAGGGAGTTAAGTGTATTAAATCATAGAAATGTTTATTTGGCTCCAGACAATATCTACCAATAAACAAGTAAATCCCTTACCCAATTATTTACAGCAGTCAACCCACTAACTCTAATATCTAATATAGTTCCAAATCAATTACCCAGGATGTTTTCCTAAAATTTAGCCCAGCTTAGAACAGAGGCTAATAAACTACTTGCTCATTTATGCCTTTGGCCTGTGAACACACACCCAGCACAGTTTGAGTCACTACTCTGCAAGAAGTGGCTGTTTTTCCAGTTTAAAATTTGCTCCCCAACAAAATGTGACAAAGTTTCAAAAAAAAAAAATTTAAGTCCCGTTTTCTCCTTATGTCTAACAATACAGTCAGTAGTTGGCCGGCTCTGTCATGTTCATAATTCACAACTACAGATCATCACATGCAATGAGAGATCGCATTTAGGGCCGAAAATGCTTTCCAACTTAAGCAAGATATATTTATAGATTCTCAAACTGCAGCAGCTTCAAAAGAGCAGTAAACTTCTTGGCCCTATAGCCCAAACCCAGAACAACACATATTCCTTCTCCTTTTGGTTTAAATAAGACATAATCTCTTGCAGGAAAAGCCGTTTACTGATGTTGCATAAACTGGTTCTGCTCTAAGTGGCCTTAGATCTCTACTAGGAAATCCTGGTAAGGCTAGATTTTCTAGCCAAGTTTAATTTTTCCGACAAGACCAAACACTTTTCTCTACTGACTCAAAAGCACATTGGCCTCTGGAAATCAAGGCACTAGTCATGGTAAATCCCACTTCATTTCATTTATCTCACTTGCCTTTTTAACATCCTTCAATGGCTTGGCACTAAGATTAAGTTCTACACCTGTGCTCACCTGTCTCATATTGGAACAGTTACCAAATCTGCTTTAAATTCCCAGCCAAGCAAGATGAAAATCAAGATACTTGAAATAAATGACTTACTTTCAATGCCCCAGCATAACAAATACAACAGGCAAGTACTTTTCAATAATAAACATGTTTCCTAATTCAGAACTTGCTACGTTCAGCTTTTCTTTCCACCTCTGTATGTCTGGAACTTCTTAGAAGTTACACACAAAAATACACACTCTCTCCAAGATGTCCATACCCTGGGAAAATCACCAACTTCTGAGTATTGCCCAATAATTTCACATTTCTCCCAGAGATTTCATTTTCCACAAGTTCTGTTTCCAATGCCTGCATAGTGTTCTTAGACTGTAATTTCAAACCTTTAACCCGCCTAGGAGCCTAACAGAAGGTGAATGTGCAAGGCAGGACAAGCAGTTTTCAACTAAGTCCAATTCACTCCCTCACTGGAGCACCTGAGTTTGAGGCACAGCTCCAGCTCCTATCTTCCCTTCCTTCACTCAAGCAATTAGGCTCCTTATTAAGTATGGAGACCTGGATTGAGTTCCTGGCTTCGACTACAGCCCAGCTGCAGCTGTTGTGGAGATTTAGGGACTGAACCAAAATGACTACCACTCTGGAAAATAAAAAAACAAAAACAAATCCTACAATACAATAAGATGACTAAACACAACCGAAGGTTTTCCACCAACTTTACACCCTTGAACCAGTCCACCTGTTCCAGTGAAATGGAGTAAAAGCTGTGTTGTTCTGCTCCCAACAGGTACCCACTGCCTTCTCAGTCAACACATCCTACACATCATTCCCACGACGGGAAAGGAGTTGAGCCGCACACGCCAAGTGAACAATCCTCCCACTGCCTCTGCACAACACGGACAGCAAGAACAGCAACAGAAAAGAAGTATCCCACCCCCCACCCCCAGTTCTCACTTGTATGAATATTAATAGTCTCACACTTTACTTTTGTCAGACAACTACTGAAAAACCAAGCACAGCAAAATATTAGGTCCACTGAAATAGTCTAACAAAGCAAAATTATAATAAAGACTTAGGTTCTCCTATCATTTCCCAGGATATTACAGATGACATTAAACTAAACCCAAAGAAAGTTCAGTTTCTGCATTACTTTGTTTTGGAGATTTTTTTTTTTAAAGATTTATTTTTATTATTTTTTTATTGGAAAGGCGGATATACAGAGAGGAGAGACAGAGAGGAAGATCTTCCGTCCGATGATTCACTCCCCAAGTGAGCGCAACGGGCCGATACTATGCCGATCCGAAGCCAGGAGCCTCTTCCGGGTCTCCCACACGGGTGCAGGTTCCCAAAGCTTTGGGCCGTCCTCGACTGCTTTCCCAGGCCACAGGCAGGGAGCTGGAAGGGAAGCGGGGCTGCCGGGATTAGAACCGGCGCCCATATGGGATCCCGGGCGTGCTAGGAGAGGACCTTAACCACTTGCGCCACTGCGCCAGGCCCTTGGAGATTTTTTTTTTATTCACATATTCTGCTATTAAAGGATTATGATTATTACACCTCATGGAAACTAATTTTGTTTGCATATTAACACTTACTGATACCAAGGTAGCCAATTCTGCTTAATAATTGAAGTATGTCATTCAAAACACGAAATAGGGGGCCTGGCATGATGGCTCAGTGACTAGATCCTCACCTTGTATGTGCCGGGATCCCATATGGTCACCAGTTCCTGTCCTGCCCTCCCAGCTCCCTGCTTGTGGCCTGGGAAAGCAGTTGAGCAAGACCCAGAGCCTTGGGACCCTGCACCCTGCGTGGGAGACCCGGAAGCAGCTCTGGGCTCCTGGCTTTGGATTGGCTCCTCTCCGGCCATTGCGGTCCCTTGTTGAGTGAACCAGCACAGGTGAATTAGCCAATTGAGCTATTGCACCAGGCCCTATTTAGTGTTTTATTTACAGAGAGAGCGATTTTCCATCTGCTGATTCGTTCCCCAACTGGGAAAGAACCAGCGTTCAAATGGGATCTAGGTGCGTTCAAATGGGATCCTGCAGGGTCCCAGCCACGAGGACACCGCACCAATCCCCAAAATAAATCTTTTTTCAAAAAGCAAAATAACCCTCTAAGATAAGCCCTACAATGACCTTTTTTTGCAGCAAATCAAGAAAGCAATATAAACCTAGGTCTTAGTTGCTAACCCAGAAATCCAATTACACCATGAATAGGACATCTTCAGAATCAAGTGAAATAAGCCAGTATTTCAACACAGGGGTATTCACCAACAAGTTCAGCTTCCAAGATCCAGAATCAATTTCAGGGTTAAAGTAAAGAAAAATTTTTATATAAAATTCTGCCTTCAGAGACTTAAGTGGACTAGATTCTCTTTATAATCCCTAAAAATAAATTTCCAAAATTCGTTCCAAGAGCTCAGCCCTGCGCTGCTCTCATGTAGACACCATGATCCCAGCAAGACACCTCAAGGCATCAGTCCAGACTACCCCATTCAAACTATCTTTTCTGGGACTTCCTTCTCCATTTCTCTGAGCCTTTCTTTGCAAATGTTCTGACTGCCACTTGCAGTACTCACAGAAGAGAAAGAAAAAAATGTGGACTCAAGGCTCAAAACTGAAAATGTATCATACTGACAGGTAACTAACACCTTAGAAGGAAACTGACAAGATAGTCCAGTCCCAAGTTTACACAATAGTAAATGAAGCATTTAAGAATCCTCAGCATGCCTGGCATGATAGCCTAGTGGCTAATGTCCTCGCCTTGCATGCGCCAGGATCCCATATGGCCAGCGGTCTTGTCCTGGTTTCTCCATTTCCCATCCAGCTCCCTGCTTGTGGCCTGGGAAAGCAGTCAAGGACGTCCCAAAGCCTTGGGACCCTGCACCTGTGTGGGAGACTGGGAAGAAGCTCCTGGCTTTGGATCAGCTCAGCTCTGACCAATGCGGCGGCTTGGGGAGTCAATCAACAGACAGAAGATCTTCCTGTCTTTCCTCCTCTCTGTATATCTGACTTTGCAATAAAAAAATAAAATAAAATAAAGAAAAAATCCTCAGCAACTACTAGGTTTCAGCCCCAAGGTGTGCAAAGTTCACACAGCCCTTCACGAAATGCACACAGCATCACTATTACACTCATCTACTTCAGCCCAAGCAGAAAGAAGGGTAAAGTACTCATGCGATGTCTGGCACAGAACAAGACACTCGAAAATTTCCCTTTTATACAAAACTCCACAAATACAAGATTTCAAGAATTGTGTTAGCAACAGTCTTAACGACCTGGATTTGTGCCTTTTGTTGCAACAATAAAAACAAGCAAGCAAGCAAGCAAGCTGCATTAGTCAACCTTCAGTCACCGGATGAGCCTAGCAGGGTTCTCTAACAAGGTGAATGTGGTTCAGTTCCACAGGGCAGAGGAACAGAACACTGGTTCTTCCCATCATCAGATCTCCCACATTTCCTTAGGCTGCAACTGACCAAAATCTCCATTTATTCCCCCTTTTCTACGTCACTGGGTGGATTCCCCAGGTTTCTTGTTCACTAACTTCTGGCTGTCTCGGCGCTTGGTTCTTTTTTTTTTTTTAAAACCAAGGGTGGGGGAAGGGAGAGCTAAAAGTTATTTCACTTTCCTGCTTTTCTATTTATCTCGTGTGGGGAAGAAAGGTTGAAATCAAACTACAACATCTTCCCCCGACTCAGAGGCTTGGATAAAGTCTCTCCAAGGGCCTTTGCAGTCATAACCGAGTTGCGGGCTTTGACTTGGAGAAGACTTGGGTTCAGAAAGGCAGGCGGGCCTCAAGACCTTCCATATGGGATCAGGCACACGGGCCACCGCGGCTCCCATTTCCCAGGCTCACCTAGGCCTGAAGCTGCAGACCGCAAAACAAGCACGTGCGCCGGCCTGGCTAATGCTGCTGTCACATCTCACGGCCACTTGGCAGGTGGGGGGACTCCAGGCCCGGGCGGCGGACCCCCAAAGCTGGGCCTGGGGCCGGCTCTGCCCTGCCCTGGGCGAGTCGGGAGGCCCCACTGCCCGCCTTGACCCACATGGTCAGCGAGCGGAAGAGGGACAGAGGGCAGCGCCGGGCCCTCCGCCCGCGCCCGCACCCACAGCCCCCGCAGGCCCGGGCGGCGCCCCCGGGGTTGGGGTCAGGCAGGCCGACCCCCAGGTGAAGGCCAGCCCCTCCCCGGGCTGCCCCGGAGCCCAGGCCGGCACCCACCTTGACGTCTTCGTCTTCGTCCTCGCCTTCCCAGCGGTCCCCGCCGGCGGTGCCGCCGCCCCCCACCTTCCGCACCGGGTCTTCCACGGAGAACGTGTCCGCGTCTACGGGAAGAGAGCGAGCCGCGCGGTTAGTGCCTCGCCTTGGGCCATGGGGCCGCCAGGGACCCGGCCTCCCTCCCCGGAACTTGGTCTCACCCCAAGAGTCCGAGTCCCCCGCCGCCGCTGCCGCCGCCGCCATCTCGGGCCGGGTGTGAGCGTGTGTGAGGGCAGAGCTGGCGCGGAGTTGGCGCGGCCGAGGTGAGTCACGGGCTGCGCTCTCGCTGGCCCGCGCGGGGCAGGCTGGGACCGTGGCTGACTGAGCGCCCGGGCCGAGGCCCCGCCTCTTCTGGCGCCGTCGGCGACGCGCACGGGCAGGGCGGGGCGAGGCCGGGACGCCGGGCGGCCTTGGCCGGCCAGCCTGCCGCGAGCGTGGCCGGTGGCCCGGTCCACCGCAGCCTGGGCCCCGGGGAGCACGCGGCCCTGCGGGGGAGCCTTTATCCCGCGCCCGTCCGCCGCCCTGCGAGCGTACCCACTCCGCCGGTCACCGTGGCCGCAGCTGGATGCCGTTCCGTCCACGCGGAGCGCGCGCGCGGGTCCCGATCCCGCCTTGACGCCTAGCAGCGCTAATGGAGTCGGGAGCGGGTTGGAGAGGGGTCGGGGAGAGGGACGCCGAGGAACGGCAGGGTCGTTGGCGGCCTTCCCGACCCGGATGCTCCGAATCCTGTTTGGCGTCCAGTTAAGTCTCCGAGGGACAGAAGAGGCTTGGCCCTTCCCGGGAGCTCCCCGAGGCTCCCAGCACAGCGAGTCCTGCTTTGGCAGGCGTCAGCCTCAGCCATGTCCTCGGTCAGGTAATAAAGACACGGTGTGATGACTGCAGCGAACAACAGCATTGTGAGGTGAGATGTAGAAAGGTACCGGAGGATGCAGGGAAGGCCCCCTGAGGCCAGGCGTGGCGAAACAGCCCTCGGAAAGACCCCCGGTCAAGTTTTGCTCAAGTGCATCTCCGGGTTCCCTCACCTGACCGGCACCATCGGAGGTAAAATGAATAGGAAAACTGAACCTAAAAGGCTTTAGATGAGCTGAGCTCTCCCGCCCTGGGAGCCACTGGGCTCCCTGGAGGACTTAGAGGGCCAGCAGTTTTAGATGTTTTTATGTTTAGAACAGGTTACAGTCTCCATCTCGTCACTGTTTGGCCTAGCCACTGGCAGGCCAGCATCCCGAATGAGGGTGCTGGGAAGTAGGATTGAGTACCTACCTTACCATGTGGAAGACCTGGATTGAGGGGCTATGGCGGGCATCTGGGGAATATACCAGCAGAATGGGCACTCTGTCAGTTTGTATCACTGTCGGTTCTAGAGGCGACAACTGTGCATCTCTTGTGTGTTTTTTAGAACCTACAAATAAGGTCTTTCAAGAGGTCTTCTACAGCAAGGACAGACAGTGACAGTCTGTTTATAAAGGATAGACACTGCAGCAAGACAGAAAGCAGAGAGGTGCAGGATCCCAAGTGGGAGACTTGGAAGAAGCTCCTGACTCCTGACTTTGGATCAGTTCTGCTCTGATTGTTGCTGCCATTTGGTGAGTGAACCAGCGGATGGAAGGTCTGTTTTTCTTTCTGTAAATTTGCCTTTTGATTAAAATAAATTTTTTTTTTATTGTAAAGTTGGATCTACAGAGAGGAGACAGAGAAAAATCTTCCACTGCTTTATGCCCCAAGTCACTACAGCCAGAGCTGAGCCAATCCAAAGCCAGGAGCTTCTTCCGCGTCTCCCACTCAGATGCAGGGTCCCAATGCTTTGGGCCATCCTATACTGCTTTCCCAGGCCACAAGCAGAGAGCTGGATGGGAAGCGGAGCAGCCAGGACATGAACTGGCCCCTAATGAGATCCCAGCACGTGCAAGGTGAGGAATTCAGCCACCAGGCCACTGTGCTGGCCCCAGTAAATAAATCTTAAAGAAAAAAAAAAAGTGGCCTGGTGGTATCTATCCTGCATTCTAGTGGGGATATCCAAATGTCTGATACTCTTTGAAACTAGAAAGATCTGGACTGAAGAGAAAGAATTAGGAGTTACTGATTACGGTGGTGGATTAAGATAGGTCATCTTCAGATATCAGACAAGGAACAAAAACCGTAAAGGCCCTTGCCATTTAAGGAACAGCTAGAGTAAAAAGGTTTAAGGGGGACAGTAAAATTTTCAAAAATGATTTTCTACCCTTCCAACTCTACCGTTTTGTGTTTTGCTGAAAAAAAAAAAAAGCTACTTACAAATAAACTTCAGAATACTGTGGAATATGATGTATTTAGAGATCCACTATCTGGAGCTCAGGAAACCTGGTACTGTTCATTAAAATTACCAGATTGTACTGAACTGAGTACTGGACACTTTAGGTGAGAGAAGAAATATTCACCATGATCCCGCCTTTCCTGAAAATCACCCTAGGATGGAAGAATAGATGAGCAGTCCAAAGCCATTTCTGTGCCCTACACTGCCTACTTGAGGGAAGGAGTCAAATTCCTGTAATACTGAGGGCTCTTTGCATTGACGCCTTCTATTCAAGAAAGCTCCTCTATATTGTGTGTGCCTAATCCATATAAAATCTGAAGCTACTTCTAGTAGGTATATAAGTAATATATAGGACCAACTAGCACAGAGGTGATACCCACACCGCTCCTGCAGCTTGCAGCTAGTCTTACCTTTTGGAATGCTCCCTCTGATGAAGCCAGTACTAGTTGAGATTTTTTTTTTAAGATTTATTTGTTTTTATTGGAAAGTCAGATTTACAGAGAGGAGAAACACAAAGATCTTCCATGTGCTAGTGAACCCAGTCAATCCAAAGCCAGGAGCCAGGAGCCTCTTCTGGGTCTCACCCACAGGTGCAGGGCGCCAAGCATTTGACCCATCCTCTGCTGTTTTCCCAGGCCACAATCAGGCAGCTGGATAAGAAGTGGAGGTTTCGTTTTCCAATTTTTCTGTAAAATGTTCTGAGTTACTCTGGTGTCTTCTATAAATTCCATTTTTAGCCTCAGCAAGGGACTGTAAATATATCCTAATATGAAGTGATCACTATGAAGAAATACTGAGGGAACATTCTGCTGTACGTAAGTCTATGACTGGCACATAGTAGGTACCTGTACTTACTGTGCAGAGATTTTTTAATATTCCCTCAGGGAAATCCTACCCATTGGGCCATCTTTTATCTTCATGAAGGATCCCAAATAGTATTAGCTGGATTTTGAATTCTAAAGGGGCAAGTTAAAAAAAAAATAGTAGTAGTAGTAGATCCACAGTACACTAGCAAACTAGGAAATAATAAATTAGTGGCTAAGAAGATGCCAGTCCCAGTCAGCTACCCCAAGGCAGCATCGCAGAGCTAGGTTACTCTCCCGTTTATGAAGACAAAGTGCTGTTACTTCTATTAACTTGGCTGAAGATCTTTTTTTTTTTTTAAGATTTATTTTATTTTTATTGGAAAGTCAGATATACAGAGAGGAGGAGAGACAGAGAGGAAGACCTTCCATCCAATGATTCACTTCCCAAGTGAGCACAGTGGCCAGTGCTATGCCGATCTGAAGCCACGATCCAGGAACTCTTCCAGGTCTCCCATGTAGGTGCAGGGTCCCAAGGCTTTGGGCCGTCCTGGACTGCTTTCCCAGGCCACAAGCAAGGGCTGGATGGGAAGTGGAGCAGCTGGGATCAGATCCAGTGCCCATTGGGACCCCGGGTGTTCAAAACAAGGACTTTAGCCTAGGCCACTGCGCCAGGTCCAACTTGGCTGAAGATGTTTTAAGACACACTAACAGAAAGAAGGTGAACACAGGGAAGGTGAAGCCGAAAGCCAAATCTTGACTGTCTTCAGACAAAAAGGCAAACGAACCTAGTCGGCTTTTAGCAGCTAGTAAAGATGAAGATACCTTGTTGATGTAATATTACCCATTAACATTTGCTTTCAACTGACTCCTTGGTTCTGCTCATTAGCAAGCAGGATCTGAATGATTAACTTTGAGGAGAAATCTGACTTAAAAATTAGCCTTGACCAATTCCCTTAAGACCATCCATTCTACCTCACTGAATCCATTTTCTTTACTCACTTTGAAATACTAATAGTTACTGAGCACCTGTCCTGTACCACAAACTATTGCTGGCAGGTTGACAGCAGTTTCCAGATACTAATCCACATGCAATGGAAAATGGGGATTGGGAATTGAAGGTGCTATGAAAAAATACACACATTCTATGTAAGGAGCATCAAATAGATTTTTGAAGCAGAATCAGTGTTGTACATGCTGCTTCTTTAAAGGGAGGCAGAAAGCATGTACCTAGAACTGTGTACTAGAAACTTTAGTCCTTCAAATCTGTGAGTCCCACGTTAGTCTGTGATCGTAAGTAATGGTACAGTCCTCCCTCAGTGTTAGTGGGGATGAGGTTCCAGGACTGCTTGTGAACACCAAGCTCTGCATATGTCCAAGTCCCTTAAAAAGTGACATCACATTCATGGAAAACCTATGCAATTCTGCTGTTTACTTTGTTCTTACCTGCTTAGACCCTGATACAATGGGAATAATTGTTATGCTTCTTTAGGGAAGTCTGAACATATTTAGTACTGATGCATCTTCTTCCAAGATTTTACATGCAGAATTTGCAGATGGGAAACCCACATACAGAAAGCACCAGTTATATTCCTGTTTTGTAGAGGAGTAGAGTAGATGGTCAGTAAATATTCATGGAACAATTTGGCATTAAAGGTATCCAGAGTAAATGTAGCAGAAATGAAGGGCTGCTCATGCCTTTTTGGAGGGCAATCCCTTAAGAACCAGACTCAAAACCTCTCATAGATGAAATAGGTTAAAGCCGAAAAGCAGGCAGTTGCGAGAAGTAAAATTACCAAACTGAATCTTTGACTCAAATGTTTTGGTGAAGAAAAAACTAGTTAAATGGCTTTTTCATTTAAACCAAAGCCTATCCAGTTTTTTTTAATACTAAATGACATCATCTGTCTTCACTTTCTATACATCTTTTCACTTATTTTTATAAGGTAACAGAATCTTAAGAGGGCTTTTTCAATTGTCTGGCATGGAGAAAACATGCCTTTAGAGTACCTAACATCCACATGGTCACTAAGCACTCAGAAACCTGGAGAAGTTGTAACGTCCTTAGACCTAGTACCCGTTGTTAATCTAGCACTCAATACATTAACCACTTTTCTTGGAGAAAGGGAATATTTTGTAATTAGTATAATCTCTAAGTGGCCTATCCAACCACTGAATTCTTAGGGAGGGCATTTAGGAAAATG